GTCTTTTGGTTGCAAATAGAATTAAACGTTTTTTACGTTTAACTCGATCAGTGCATATGAATTGGTCTTGGTTGTGTGTAGTTGCATATAGATCGGGAATATCGAATACAGACGAAGACGGAAGAACCATTCTGCGTTTTCACTTTCGGTGTTCTGAGTTTTCGAGATTCGGCCATACATTCGTATTTACAAGCCTTTGGTATTTTTGGGCTTTCCTTTGTTATGAGATGTTTTCTTGGGCATAAAATAAACTTTCAAGTTCAAGTTCAAGAATGAATTTGCAGTAACTTACATCTGGTTTCCCGATAAGTGAAAGCAGAATTAATAGCAATGGTACTGACACAACGAAAATGAGACGCCATTGTTTGATTAGATTTAGTTTGGTTATCATTGTTCAAATGAGTAATAAAGTGAAGTGGAACTACATTATTTATAACCCTATATATACATCAAACTTAGTCTTCTACAGAAATGTAGACTTTCTACGGTAGAAAGGTAATTTCGTACAAATTTTGGTTTTTCCCTTGACTTTAGTCTAGGGTGTTACAAAATGGTTATCTGTCTGAGCTCAAAATACGCAAAAATGGCTGTTAGATATCTCATGGGATTTTTGTTTCATTTTATTGTGTTATTGGATAGAGTTCATCCAACTACCTACATACACCTTTCTGGGTGTATTTAGTGGCACCACGTTTCCCCGCCTTCAGGATATGAAGGTGAAAAAAAAATTATTCACTGCATTTTTATTTGGAGTATCGAATGAGATTCGTTTCCAGAGTAAAAGTTCGAAGTGTACTGCAGTTTTTCTCGTACATGAGATTTCTCTTAATTATCTATTCAGTTCAGCGGAAAGAGGGTGCCCTGTTACCAGATAAAAGAGAAATATGTTCTCAAAAATGTACTCATTTTCCGAAAACTTATTCAACCTTTTCAGAACAATTTCATACGAAAGATAATGCTTTCTAATAGAAATCCTCACCCTACAGTAAAAGATCGTTTGTGTATGTGAAAAGAACTAATTCTACTACTCTTTTTTTGGGTATATTGCAATTTTGAAAAATATTGCTGTATTGCCGAGAAAATCGATTTTCTTTTTTGTTTAGAATGGACTACTTCAAAGGGCTTCCATATTTCTCAATAAAAAACAGAACAATCCAAGATAAATTAGTCAGAACTGAACAATATACGTAAAACTTAACGAAGAATTTAATAAAAATAAAACTAAGGTCTTTGCAGGGTCTCCATAGGGTTTTGAGGAAACCTTACCGAGAAATTGGAGATTTTCCAGGTTTCTGGAGTTCTTTATATACCCACAAAACCTATCTTCGCAAAAAAATTAGAAAACCCTTTCATGTACAAAACCGTCGCTCAAACACTCAAACCAGAATCCACCCGATTGCCTAACATTTTGCTCGAAACAAAAAGTACATGCGAAACTCAAAAACACTTCACTTACGTACAGTGCTGTTTCCTGCTTGCTGCATGAACCCGCTCACACTTGCAGTCCCTCATCCCACTAGTAACTACGCCGGTTTTAGCAAAACAACGATGCGCCCATTCTAGTATCTAAATATTCATCCTGTGTATTTATTTGCGGTTTTTCCAGTTTGTGTTAAGACCCCAAACCCGTTAGAAACCTATCTCTGAAAGTATATCTCCGATATTGACCAAACTTTTAGGAGATGCTGATCTTGTAACAGTATGGTGAAGACATTTTTTGTTTCAGTTCAAGCAAAACTGATTTTCGATAGGTTTTTGAAGCCGGTTTATCAGAAGATCTTTGAAAAACTAGCTAGCAGTTTTCGAAATTTCAACTGGAATCTATTGATTTTTTTCATCTGCTGATAGTCCAAGGTATTCACTTCAAAATGGGAGTAAAGTAAGACCTTGATTTTCTACGATTCGGGCGTTGTATCGGATTTGGGACGAGTTCTAGGACTGGCATCCGGTGACTCTTGCTAGCCATAAAGACGAATGGACTATGGATAGTCGGCCATGTCGAATCTCGTGGCAATATTTGGTTTTAGAAAAAGTTTTAAAAATCTATCGAAAAACCAGTTTTACGAAAATTAGGCTTTTAAGGTTGTTCTGTTGAAGCTGAAAATTTTATTCATCCCGTAACCTCCCTCTCCTCCTCCTAACGCCTGCAGACGTACGTGACTCACGGACAATACTGAATATACGTTGTACAATGTCTTTAAAAAGAAATCCGAACATTTGCAGGAGACATGTCACCTGTACCTAACTGACATGGATGGATGAAACAAATTTCTCTACAAACTCGTCGAGCCAAATAACCTGATGATTATGTAGCGGAAATAGGCGAATGCTCCTTCTTCGCATCTCCCCCAAAACTCATTTTCTCTGCCTTGTGAAGCACCGTAATCAAAGCATAAGGATGAAGTGAGTACCGAGAATTTTTATTTGGATGCTAACAGATGTTCGCTTAAAGTTATCATACTAAATATGACATGCATAAAGTCTTTATTGACTATCATAATACCACTGGTCCTTTACTAATATACAAAAGCATGATCCGGCATCAATAGTAGAGTTTATGATTGCAGTAGCCACCCGGATTATTCTCCAGATATCTCTGATGTTTGGATTCAGCCTTGTAGAACTGAAGTCCATCAGCGGGTTGAATTTGAGTGACAATTTGTCCTTTGACTTTGCCACTCGCCTCTACTTCATTACGCACTTGCTCGGCAATTTTCTGCTGTTCATCGGTGTGAGTGAAGATCACAGATCGATATTGAGTGCCTCGGTCGTTTCCTTGTTTGTTCAAAGTCGTTGGGTCATGCATACGGAAGAAGAAATGAACTAAATCACTATATTGAACTTTGTTGGGTTCGAAGGACAATTGCAACACTTCAGCATGGTTTGTCGTCCCAGTACACACCTGTTCATAGTTGGCTTTGGAGGAGCCACCCATATATCCGACACTGGTTGAAGCCAACTTTGCGCCGAACTGCTTGCGAAAGAATTTCTCCGTGCCCCAGAAACAACCAGCACCGAAAGTGGCCAACTCTAAATCGGCATTGCTGGCTACTGCCATATCTTCGTGTTGTTGTTCTTGCTGTTGTAATACAGAGCCCATCAGAGGCAAATACAATATGAATAACGTTATGCAACCAACAGACACACGTAGAATGCGCATTGTATAACCGTAATTTTTTCTTTCTCCATCACTCTTTCTTTTCTGGCCTTGGCATGTCAAGGTGGCAAGTAAAGAAACAATA